TTATCCGTTTTGTTTTGTTTTAGTTTAGATTGATGTTTTGTTAGATTAGTTTGAGTGTTTTGCCACCCGTGTATTTTTGAGTTTTGTAGTTTGATTAGTTTAGTTCGGGTGTCGTACACACTGAAGACCTCGGTTTTTATTTGTGTTTCTTTTTGACGCCTAGTTTAGACATTAGATTTAAGGATTGTTTTGTTTTGTTAATTTCTTTGATTTGGCTTACACTCGTTTTTCTTGTTTAAAGATAATAATTATACATGTTTGTTTGTTTTTTTTTCTCCCCCATTTATTGTTACATGTTTCAATTCAATTATAGAGTAAAAGCTTTAAATGAGAGTTACTGAATCTTGCCTCATTATTGATCTGTCGCACACAATACACCTGTCTCACTTAAATGTTACAGCATCCCACTTTAACATCATAAAACACGTAACAGTCGCGTACACTGTTAATCCACACGTGAGTCCAGCTGCGCTCTCACAGAGAGAAAATGAAAACAAAACTTAACTGCAGCAAACTATAAAAGCAACACTTCACGCTTGTTTTGCCAACACAACGTGGCATCTCTGTCATCTAAACACTGTGAAAGTAATGCATCACACTGTAAGACGTAATAAGACACACTCTGGCACAGACGCCCAGTCTGCACGCTGCAATATTCATTATTTCATATATTCATTTCAAACCGGAAGTATGAATTTGCTTGAAATAACGCAAAAACAACCAATTTACACTTTTTTGTGAAATATAGGTGTCTTAATAATGTTTTTAGCAGTGGGGGACACATATACGACTGTCAACAGCTCAAAAATGTGTTTTGGTGTTTCGTGACCCTTTAAATATGATATCATAGTGGACCACCCCTTTAAGACCAAGAAAAATCCTATATTAAAATTAATTTGGATATTTTTGTTATCCTTGAATTTTTAATCAAATCAAATGTACTTTTTTACAAGAGAGGCTAGAAAAATTGTGAAGCTCTTTTATCATTATTACGTTTTCATTTTTTTTTATTCAAATAGCCAAATTTTGACTGAGGACAGTTGAATGTTCTGGCCAGTTTGTAGGCTAAAGCTACAATAGGCTACAGTTTTTATTTTAAAACTTTAACAGATTCCTATTTTTTTCTGATGATGATTTTTGACCTAATAAATTTGTATTTTAAAAATAAGTATTTATTCATTTTTCTTTTTCTAAATCTTGAGGAAATATTTTGGTACATTTAATGTTTCATTATGATGACGACCTAACAGGCTAATCCAGCTAAAAATAGTGGTTAGAATGTCACTAAAATACAGTATTTAAATCTCATACATTGTAAATGAGGTAATAACTGCAAAAAGGTCCACATTTTGAGAAAAAGATCCCTTGTAACAGGCTGGCTACGGACCTGCTTTGGTAAAACCAAGTAGCTGTTTAATGAAATAACAGATTATCCCAGTACATTTTTAACATAAAATAGTGTTTATATATATATATATATATATATATATATATAGTTACTTTTACTTTTACTTGAGTAAAAATTTCCGCAAATACGTATACTGTTACTTGAGTACAAATTTTAGATACTCTACCCATCTCTGGTTATATTTATGGAGAGATCACTTAATCCATGACATGCAGAAAGATAAATATATTTTAAATAACTCTATCTTACATAGATTGAAGAAGGGACATTTTTTTTATCTTTATATTTTATATTCAACTGAGCTGCATGTTTTTAGCTGTGGAAGAACATTAGCGTAAACACGCTAAAACAGAAGAAAATATGTTAACTCCACACAGAAAGGCATCCTGTGCTTGCTGGGATTCAAATTCAGGTTGGCTGCAGAGGCACTGAACCACTTTTTTTCAGATTGTGGAAGCTGTCCTCTGTGTGAAATGTTGAGCAGAAAGATGGATACATTTCATATAATGGTCTTTAAGGGAGTTAAGAATACATTTTAACTATTTCTCCTTAAATACAGTGTCCCTCTGATGTCAGTGAAAAAGCAGCATTCAGAAGGCTTATTTACAAGTGTTTTTTTTTTAAGTTTAGGCTCTACTTTGACGATCCATGCGCAGAGCACAAAACGCAGGGCGCAAACGCTTTCAGGGCGTGTCAGAATGCATTTTTGCTAAATTCAGGACGGAAAAATCCACTTTGCGCCGTGGCCCATGGTCTGATAGGGTTGAGTTTATTTTCTTAATGAGTTATAGGTGTGTTTTGAGAATAAACCAATCAGAGTCTCATCTCCCATTACTTTTAAGAACGCTGCGTCGCGCCATAAGCACATTTGCTATTTACATGACGTAAAGTAAGTCTTAGTGGAAAAACTTCAATTTCTAAATTCAGTTCTAATTTTCAGCAAATGAATAAATGAACAATAATAACGAAGTGTGCTCAAAAAGCAGTGGTTTTTCATATTTATGTTGGCTAGAAAATAATATGTTTTGTAATATTTTAATCCTTTATATTTCTATCCTATATATCCTAAATATTTTACAGTTCTTCTCAGTCGCTTTGGTGTGTTTCTCACAACACTAGTGCATTTTTGCACAACATTTAATGCATTTCTCAAAACAGTTAGTACAAACTGCAAAACCTAGCTGATAACCTGCAAAAGCGTGTCAGATGCTCAAAATGGAGAGCTCATTCCTCAAAAGCAAGTATTGATGTCAATCAAAGTGTCATCAATATGAAAAGTCATGACACCATTGTTTATAAACAAGATAGTTAAATGGCTTTGTCATGTTTTCATTATGAAAGTTTACTCTGGAAAATTTTTTCGATGCAAAAAAGGTCAGATTTTGGTGAACCTTGCTGAAAATGCTCAAGACAGCACTATAGACTATCTGCACAGCCATTTGAAAACTACAGTAGAGTTAGACATCACTGCATTGAATAAGTTATCTGAGTACAAGACACTAAATATGTATGTTTTGCATTTTTACTGCATTTGCTCTTTACAATCCTAATTTACTCACAGCATTGTGCAAAAGAATAAACACACCCTTATTTACAACAAGCATAAACTCCCTTTAGGTAAAGATGTGCACAACTGTATACAATATTGCAGTACATATTAGAACTGAACCTACAACACACACAGGTCTGTAAATCATTCATCAAATTGTTCAATTTTAAAGACATTTTAAGGAAAATAAAGATTTAAATTTGTTTTATAAAATTTGCTGGACAGATTTTGACAACTAGTTCAGCATTTTGTATGTAATGACTCAAGTAATGAAATGAGGACTTTTAGTTTTATATGCAATGACTATTCAGCATTCACAAGTTTAGATAATTTTGACTGACACGACATAAGCAGATGATAATGTTATAAACAGCAGAGAGTTGAATGAAAGCAAGTGATGCACGTCCAAAAGCATTTGCAGTTTGTTGAAAGGAATGAGAAACTGCTACTGTGATGTGCACAAATGTTGTAATTTTTTCAAATGTAAAGATATTTGCGTATTGCTCTACATCTTGTGTGTATTAAGCAGTGTGTAAGCGAGGCGCAACTCTGCGCTGGAGTTTAGACCGGGTTTGTTTTGGTCTAATGAAAAATCTATTATAGTTTCTCAAAATAGCAACGCGCCAGCGGTCCGCCTCAGAACGCCTCCCTTTTTATACCAGAACGCCTTTTAGGCTTGGGTACCAAAACTCATGCTCCGAATCAAATCAGCATATGAATTTCGGTGGCTAATTACAGTGCTGTAACAAGAACGTAAGGCAGGTCGCGCACCGGAAGCGCCACTCGGTGACGCGCAGCGCCATGCATTTAAGAATTTGCAAGTTTTAAATAACATGCGAATGTGCACGTCTGGTGTGTGATACTATCATCTGTCATGTGTGCGCTGTGCCGTGGCTCTGAGCGGCACATCCGCTGTGTGACGCACTTAAGAAGCATAAAGTGGTGCATTAAAGACACACGCGAGTAAGCATTGTGTCACATTATCTCTAAATGTTTAATTCTAAACAGCTTTGAGGGATACGGATGTCTGGTGTTTATTATTGTAGCTTATAGAAAGCAAAGCGTGCAGTACGGCACATGCGGCGAGCGACTAACTTCATCAACACGCATGATCGCATTCATCTAATTTGCTTAAACTAAGCATTCTACAGTATGCCCATATTTTACAAGCAAAGATTCTGACACACCAACATTAACAACAAACTTATAACATGTGAGGGTTCTTGGAATAACCTTAAAGCCCCAAACCCAGAAAAAAAAGGTGCTCCTGATTTTGATGACAGCCTTTCCACGGGTTAGTAGTAAGCTAATTTAATGTTAATGGCATAATACAAATCTTGCATTTATGCCAATAAACAATTGATCAAAAGAAATAAATTAATGCAATTCAAATAAATAAAATATGAATTGATGTTTACTTTAAACTTATTTTATATATATATATATATATATATATATATATATATATATATATATATATATATATATTTTTTTTTTTTTTTTTGTCTATTCATTTTGTGTTTAAAAGGTATCGGTTCAGGCACCGTTTTGGCACCGGCACTGTTTTAAAAGTATCGATTTAGCACCGGTATAAAAAAAAAACCAAACGATACCCAACCCTAACGCCTATGGACACACATATGAGCGCAAATGCATTGGCTATTTAAACAGTGTAGCGCAACGCCTCAAAATGACTCTTGCTCCAAGCTGAAATTAGCAAAAGTCTATTGCGCCGCGTCTTGCGCCGGGTGTATGATAGGGCCCTAGATGTCGCCAATCTTGATATTTTTCATTGTAGTCCTTCACCAGGATTTTGCTATGCTAATTCTTTAAATACCAATTTCTCCATTTACTTTGAACTTTCAGTTTTGTAACCTTGCATGCTCGCATGGCAACATTACACACTACCTTATGTTGAAAAGGTGAAAATCCTTTTAATGAAATTACATGCATTATATACTTAGGTGACTGGCTTAAAATGATGTTTAATTATGTGTGAATTATGTTTAATAAAATAGATAACATTCATAAATTGTGATTATCTTATGAGTGGTGATTAAATTTGACTGTTTGTTTTCTCACCTGTCTGCGAAGTGCATCTCGCATCAGTCTCGCCACCTCATTCACACCATCTTTCAGCCCTTTTGCCACCCACTTTCCAGAGCTGTTGATTTCTAGCTGAAGGTGCAGTGAATGGACTTTAGTGCGCAGCTGGTTCAACTCATCTTTAGTTAGACGCTCCATCTCATCAGAGTAGAAAGACTCTTTTAAACACTGACTGTCGTACGCCCGCTGAAGCTCTGTACAGGCATCAAACACATCTTTATCACGGTCACCAATCACCAGGAATGCTGCCTTGTCCTCTGTTACCGGCAAAGATGCCAATAGAGAACTCAAGTCATAACAGACTGGTGAAGAAGGTGCTTGTGATCTGGACAAATGTAATGGTGCAGGAGCTGAAAAGAGTGTAAGTACAATATTGTCAAAAGAGTGCAACCGAAATGGTGTATTTTGATTGTAGAACCTTTTTATCATGTTTGCCGACTGCTCCAGCGATTGTAACACTAAGATGTTGGAAACTTAGTGGTGGTGATAGTAAAGTTCCCCTTCGGGGGGAACTCCAGCACTATAAGTGGATTTAATTTTCTAAATCCACGTATGGGAGGTTCGGTTCAGAAGCTACTCGTCTGAAAGAGTATTGAACGGGCCAATTAAGAATGAAGTGGCAGCGCAAGCCTGCGCAGGTGTGCGGCATATGCAATCAACTGAGTATATAAGCACACCTGGCGCCAGCAGACGCTATCCTTTTCGCTTCAGAGACTTTTCTAATCGAGCTTCATGAGGGTTCCTCCTGCTGTCTACAGCCACTTCGAGCGAACGAGTGTCTCCCGGTCCAGAGCGAGTCCACGCAGCGGCAGGTGGTCGAGCTGGGTTTCTCCCTTGCCTGGCGTCCCTTTGGGTTCGGTCCTCCAGAGCGGTGCGTATTGTTGCAAAGCATCCTAAAACAGCAACACAGTCGTGCAGCAAGTCCTTTTCAGGACGGCGCTCCGACTGTGCGTTTCTGGTTGCGGGGGTTTCCTGGCTCCGGATGATGGGCACGATCACTGCATTACATGTTTGGGGGTCCAGCATGTTAATGTGGTGCTCGGGGGCGGTTCATGTCGTCACTACGATGCCATGACTGTCGCGCAGTTGAGATCGCGGCTAACTTTCGTGAGAGAGCGAGCCACCCCAGTCGCCTCCTGTTCTGCAGCGGGCGCTCGGGCAGATCTGAGGGTTCCAGCGAGAGATAATCCGCCGCCTAAGGGCTCGCGGACCTCTCGCTCCTCCAAGCGCTCCATCCAAGCTTCGGGCGCTGGGAGTGATCCGTCTAATCAGATGGTAGCTCTCACGCTCGCTGACACCGGAGATCAGATGTCCTCCGCAGCATCGGAGGGTGGGCTTTCATTGTACGACGATGATCCGGACCCGCTCGCCCCTTTCGGGCAGGTGAGCGCTGTCAAAACGGATACTGAAACAGACGTGTTAGCCGTGCTTTCCCGGGCTGCTTCGGCCGTGGGTTAGAGATGGTTTATCCCCCAGCTCCGCGGCCGGACCGACTAGAGGGGTGTTCCCTTCTTCCCGGCGACGCACAGTAGGCTCACGCGGTCTTAAAGAGCACCTTTTTTCTGCTCGTGCTGCGTGTCCCTCCACCCTCACCACTCTTGGTGGTGGAACGGCCAGGGGGTATGTGGCGATTCCTCAGGTTGAGTGTGCTATGGCGGTTAATCCACGCAGCGCCTCTTCTTGGCGGGGTCTGCCTCGTCTCCCATCCAAAGCCTGTGAGTTTTCGGCTCCTGGCGAAGCGAGCGCGTCGAGCACCTCGGAAGCAGGCAACTCCCCCTGCCCAGAACGCCGCTAAGTCTGGCAACGGACCGCGAAGCGTCCCTGGGACAGGTCATCTGGAGAGGAGGGAACTTGCTCTTTCCCCGCTGGAGGGCAGGGGCGCCATTTCCAACGGCGCCATGTGAAAGGGCACTTTTCCACTTCTCCGGAGGTGATAGCCCGAAATCTGCCAGTTTGAGCTCAGCTCTCTAGCTCGTAGGTTCGGTGCACTCCGCCAGTGGCTAACGGGCACTGCAGGCCCTGCCAGCCTGGGACGCGCCGCCTCTCAGCTCGCAAGGTCTGCATGCTCCGCCAGCGGCTCATGGGCGCTGGGGGGACGGTCTCCCTTCTCCCAGCCCACAAGCCCCCCCTCCGGAGTCAGGGTGCGGAGCCAGAGCGAATCGCTCTCCTCCAGCTCTTCTGTGGGACCCTCGCGCTCCCCGGATCAGCACACCCGCTCCGCGCTGCCGCTCCGCGGGTACGTCAACGATTGCTGCGATGACGTCATTAGCGAGGGCTCTACCTGCCTGGTTAGCGCGGGCCAGCCCCTCGCGGTGGCTCATACGCACGATCAGACTCGGCTACGAACTACAGTTCTCCTAACGGCCTCCCAGGTTCACGGGCGTGTATTTCACCGGGGTCAATCCCCTGCCCGCCCCTGTCTTGCGAGAGGAGATTGCTGCCCTCCTGGGGAAGGGTGCAATCAAGCCGGTACCTCCAGCCGAGATGGAGAGCGGGTTTTACAGCCCGTACTTCATCGTACCCAAAAAGAGCGGTGGGTCACGGCCAATCCTAGATCTGCGCGTTTTGAATCGCTGCCTTCACAAGCTGTCGTTCAGAATGCTTACGCAGAGGCGCATCCTCCGATGCGTTCGTCCTCAGGATTGGTTTGCAGCCATAGACCTGAAGGACGCATATTTTCATGTCTCCATTCTTCCACGCCACCATCAGTTCTGCGGTTTGCGTTCGAAGGTCGAGCATGGCAGTACAAGGTCCTCCCCTTCGGGCTCTCTCTGTCTCCGCGGGTCTTCACCAAACACGCGGAGGGTGCCCTAGCACCTCTGCAGCTTGCGGGCATCCGCGTACTCAATTAGCTCGACGACTGTCACGCCGCTCGGATTGCTCCATATGAGACCACTTCAGCACTGGCTTCAAGATCGAGTTCCGAGACGCGCATGGCATGCGGGCACACACCGAGTCTCTGTTTCCCCCAGTGAGCCTGATCGCGCAGTTAATGTGCAAGGTCAGGGAGGACGAGGAACAGGTTCTGTTAGTTGCGCCCCTCTGGCCCAACCGGACCTGGATATCAGAGCTCTCCCTCCTCGCGACGGGCCCTCCCATGGCAGATCCCTTTGAGAAAGGACCTACTTTCTCAGGGACAAGGCACCATCTGGCACCCTCGCCCCGATCTCTGGAACCTCCACGTGTGGTCCATAGACGCGAGGAAGACTTAGGTAACCTGCCGCCCGCGGTGGTTCATACCATCACTCAGGCTAGAGCCCCCTCTACGAGGCGCGCCTACGCCCTGAAGTGGAGTCTATTCACTGAGTGGTGTGTCTCTCGCAGAAGACCCCCGATCTTGTCAGATCAGTGTTGTGCTCACTTTCCTTCAAGAGAGGCTGGACAGTAGGCTGTCGCCCTTCACTCTTAAGGATTACGTTGCCGCCATCTCCGCTCACCATGACGCGGTGGCTGGTGGCACCGTGGGAAAGCATAACCTCATCATCCGGTTCCTCAGAGGTGCTAGGCGAATTAATCCAACTCGCCCCCCTCTCACGCCCTCTTGGGATCTCGCCCTCGTTCTCACGAGCCTGCGATTTTGATCCCTTCGAGCCACTCGATACAGTATCTTTAAGATTTCTGTCCCTGAAGACAGCTCTGCTGGTCGCGTTGGCCTCCATCAAGAGGGTCGGGGACCTGGAGGCATTTTCGGTCAGTGACTCGTGACTGGAATTCGGGCCGGGATTTTCTCACGTTTTGGGTATAAGTGCCTGCTATGGCCGATCCCCGCTGGTGATCACCATATGCTTTCCGCCACGGTTAAGTTCCCCCCCTGGGTGGACCCGTGCTTTCCCTATCTGCTAACCACCTTCTTATGCGCACTCCCCCTTTCAGGGTTAGTCCATATGTAATTCCATTTGTTTCCCCCTATTGGGTGCGGATGGTCTCCGCAGCGTCCTCCCTACTGGGATGGCACGCTTCCCAACGTACTGTCGTATATTCCTAGAATTATCTAGATGCTAACGACTCCCAAAAAATATACCTATTCCGTAAAGCTTCTTTTGAAGTGGGATAAGTTAGGGCCAAGGGCACGTTGGAGGACCGCGCCTCTCATGATCTGGGTGCGTCACGCTTGCCTGACCGCTCTCTCATGTTGGGTGTTGGTAAGGTGCAGTCATTATGGCGCTTTCAATGGGCTCCCATATGTGGATTTAGAACATCAAATCCACTTATAGTGCTGGAGTTCCCCCCGAAGGGGAACATTCGAGGTTACTAAAGTAACCCTTCGTTCCCCGAGGAGGGGAACGGAAGCACTATACTCCGTCGCTATAATGACTGTCCCTTAGCTGTTAAAAGTCTCTTCAGCTTAAAAAGGATAGCGTCTGCTGGCGCCAGGTGTGCTTATATACTCAGTTGATTGCATATGCCGCACACCTGCGCAGGCTTGCGCTGCCAATTCATTCTTAATTGGCCCGTTCAATACTCTTTCAGACGAGTAGCTTCTGAACCGAATCTCCCATAGGTGGATTTAGAACATCAAATCCACTTATAGTGCTTCCGTTCCCCTCCTCGGGGAACGAAGGGTTACTTTAGTAACCTCGAACGTTATATGACTGGTCTAGTGTATTCATTTAGTATTATTTATTCTTTTATAATCAAAAGTTCCTGATTAAATTGATTCTTTTGAATCAAAATTCACAAAGTTGTAATCATTTATGAAGACTGTCATGATGAACAAAATGTGTGGGAATTAGATTTTTGTTTCTTACAGTCATTTAGTACAGTTCAAATACTAAAGATTTACTATAGATTTTTCAAGGGAAGAAGGGTGATCCAAACTTATTGGTTTGCAAAAAAGCATGTAACTTCAACACTCTATTAAGTGGACATATTTAAGAAGACTGTCACCTGTCATCTGTGTGCTGGCACCAAAGACTTGCCGTGCCACTGTTTTGAATGCCAGGAAAACATTAATCTTCAGCAGAATGATGCGTATATTTTTGAGATATTGAAGATTCGCTCCTTGAACACCCTCCTTCACTCCCTCTAGAATGGACTTGGCCACTACTTTTGGATCCAAACCTCCTTGTCCTGTAAAGCACACAAACAGAACATTGACATGATAAATATAAATTTGAAAGCTGACTCTAACCAAGTCGTCTATTAATGCATCTATGGTAGAGATGTTAATTTATGCAATAAGAATCAAAATTTACAATGATGGTGATTCAGATATACAATGATAGTGATTGACAACTGGTTCTTTTATTTAAAACACTTATTAATTTTACAATTTTGCACATTGCACTTTTATCACAAATGTAATTATTATTTCATGCAAGCAAAGACAAAATCTTGAAGCTACCATACTGACCAGCACAGATAGCAGGAATAGCCACAGACTGGTAGCGGCCATGCTCACACTGTACCACTATTTCTTTTGCTAAGGTCTTGATGACGCTGGGGCTTCTCTCTCCACAAACATGCATGATGATCTTACATGGTAAGCCTCCTGGTGGGGTTGTAAAGATTTGCCTCCATGCTACCGAAGCTGATATAGAAAGAATTTTAGATGACAATCTGAACCTGGATTTCCCCTTCCGGGGAACTTTGACGTGTCTCTTCACACTTTGGTAGATCGCTAGATGACCTATCACTCTGAAGAGTAAGAAAATGGACCAATGAATGCCAATTACTTGGCAGAGCTTGGCCCCGCAGGTGCTGGAGATTTATAATTAGTAGAGTACATAACCAGCACATGCAGAGCAAGCAATTAGAATATACGCTTCAGACCCTCACAGTAGCGATCTGCGCAGGACTGAATCCCGCTCCAGCCAGGTTTTATTCCACACTCCCGCCATATATTCAGCCTTTGTTTACCCGCTGCCCGACCCACCATGTTTTCTACCCAACCCGACCATTTCCTCTAAATTTAGATCTGGTTTTCAAAATCTCACTTTAAAATTGGATACTACCAAAAAAGAGAGATGACAGTTCTAACAGGTTTGTAAGCTAAATGTCATTTTGTTTGCTCCTTTATGAAGAGACATGAGTGCCACGTGACATGCGGTGAGGTTTGTGGCTGGTGAGGTACTGACTCTTTTAAAGTCAGATTTACAAAAATATTCACTCAATATATTTGCCAACTACCAATTGTGTTTCATATATCATGTCAGCATTATTTCTATACACATAGCAGGTACATATTGGGCCAAGGAAGAATGTAAAATGTATAATGATTAAATATGTCTTTCAAAAAATATCCAGCTGGATGCTACAGAGTCCAGACAGCCAAAACACTGCACCACGTGCACTTTCTCTCATTCACACTTACAAACACACACACACACACACACACATACACGCCAGAACATAACTAACAGGGGCTGTGGGTGGTACAAATGTGAGTTTCGTACATTAAATTGCTGATCCATTTCTGCAACCACTGAATTTACAGTGTTCTAGTACAGTCTTTTGAGTTCAGTTTCTACATCACCCTCTCGTTGACCTGTCGTTTCTTCCACCAAGTAATCATCCATAATCTTGTTCCTCTATGCTTTGGAGTCATGCATTTTGGCAGCACTGGTTTCTTCAACAGTTGTATAAATTCCTCATCACAACAAAGTTTTTGCACGCACACTTTTGCACTGGTCACAATGTCTAGACCTGTCCAAAGCTCAGTGTCCTCCCTCTGCAAAAGCTTATTTGGTGGATCCAACAATGCCTAAACATTGTGCACAAGGTTTGCAATGACCAAGAAGCTAGGTGCAGTTATCTCTTTCAACAGACCAACAGCTTCCATTTACAGCTCTGGACCATGGGCTATCGCAGAGATATTTTCAGTCAGAAGAGATGTGATCTCTTCGGTAGCTAAATGGCCTGTCCACCTTTGTTCAAGAAGCTGTTTGAGGTGTTTGCCCTTGTAGTGCACAGCAATTGTAGGCTTCTCACAACATTTGTACAATACATTACAAACATAAAAAAAAATCCATTACAGCTGCCTAGCTGACATTGTGTGCAGGGCCAGCGCGTCTATAGAGGCGACATAGGTGGTTGCCTAGGGCGGCAGAATAGAGAGGGCGGCGTCCGTGACACCTCCCTCACCACCCGCATCCTCAGTTATGTCTGCGACACCTCCCTCACCACCCGCGTCCTCAGTTATATCCGCATCTAGAACGGCAGAATAGAGAGGGCGGTGTTCGGGACACCTCCCTCACCACCCGCGTCCTGAGTTATGTCCGCGACACCTCCCTCACCACCCGCATCCTCAGTTATGTCTGCGACACCTCCCTCACCACCCGCGTCCTCAGTTATATCCGCATCTAGAACGGCAGAATAGAGAGGGCGGTGTTCAGGACACCTCCCTCACCACCCGCGTCCTGAGTTATGTCCAAGACACCTCCCTCACCACCCGCGTCCTCAGTTATATCCATGACACCTCCCTCATCACCCGCGTCCTCAGTTATATCCATGACACCTCCCTCGTCCTCAGTTATATCCATGACACCTCCCTCATCACCCGCGTCCTCAGTTATATCCATGACACCTCCCTCATCACCCGCGTCCTCAGTTATATCCATGACACCTCCCTCATCACCCGCATCCTCAGTTATATCTGCGTCTAGGGCGGCAGAATAGAGAGGGCGGTGTTCGGGACACCTCCCTCACCACCCGCGTCCTCAGTTATATCCGTGCCTTGGGTGGCAGAATAGAGAGGGCAGCGTCCGCGACACTTCCCTCACCACCAACGTCCTCAGTTATATCAGTTACATCCGTTAAGAATAGTTGATGGGTCAAGTCCAGCTTGGATTAGCTCTGCTAAAATGGTATCTGTCAGTTTGGGCATCGCCCATTTTAGCAGTAGCTACGGTCGGTTAATAGTCACTCCGCTACTTTGTAGGACTCGTTCTCATTCACAAACCAAATGACAATTGATATATTTTCGCAGCCTGTAGGGTCATAGGTACCATTTACTTTAATGTGTAATATGAGTGTGGTGGGAAAGGCATGATCAAACACCCAGAAAGGAAGGAGAGCAAGCGGAGACACCGGCGGCTGGTCAGTGGTCTAATCATGAATAATTATTAACACCTGTATTTTCTAGTGATTGGGCCGGAGAGACACCTTCATAAGGGGAGGAGAAGGAGAAGCCGGGAGAGAAAGGAGAGCCTGACCATTCATAGACTCGACACACACAGACAAGCACACGAGTGCCCAGCACAACACAGTAAAAATAAAAAGTTTGTGCTTACCTGATATTGCCGACCCTGTCTTCTTCTTCCCACCCAACAAATTTATTACAATGAGTCACCCACATCTTTCAAGCCTCAGTAACCACTTCACTCAGTAAACTTATGATCTCATTTTAAGTATCACAACAGTTATATGTTGCCTTTTAAGGAAGCGTTTTCACTGTGTCAGCCAAAAGGGATACTTTTTTTAATTGCATGTTGTCAAAAGCATCCTTTTTCCTTCGTAAAGGTAGCTGATTTTCCATAAGAAAGCCAGTAACGTTCGAGGTTACTAAAGTAACCCTTCGTTCCCCGAGGAGGGGAACGGAAGCACTATAAGTGGATTTGATTTGTAAAATCCACGCATTGGGAGGATTCGGATCAGAAGCCGCTTGTCTGGAGAGTATTGAACGGGCCAATGAATGAAATTAATTGGCAGCGTAAGCTTGCGCAGGTGTGCGACATCTGCAATTATCTCAGCATATAAGCACACCTGAAGCCAGCAGACGCCATCCTTTTAAGCTGAAGAGACTTTCAAACAGCTAAGGGACAGTCATTATGGCGACGGAGTATAGTGCTTCAGTTCCCCTCCTCGGGGAACGAAGGGTTACTTTAGTAACCTCGAACGTTCCCCTTCGGGGGGAACTTCAGCACTATAAGTGGATTTGATTTGTAAAATCCACGCATTGGGAGCCCATTGAAAGCGCCATAATGACTGCACCTTACCAACACCCCCGATGAGGAGATAGTCAAGCAAGCGTGACGCACCCACATCATGGGGGGCGCGGTCCTCCAACGTGTCCCTGGCCCTAATTTATCCTACTTCAACAGAAGTTTTACGGATTTAGATATATTTTTTGGGAAGTCGTGAGCATCTAGATAATTCTAGGAAATACGACAGTACGTTGGGAAGCGTGCAATCCCGATAGGGAGGACGCTGCGGAGGCCATCCGTTACCCAAGGGGGGGATAGATGGCAGAATTACATATGGACTAGCCCTAAAAAGGGGGAGTACGCATAGCAAAAGAGTGGTTAGCGGAGAGGGAAGACACGGGTCCGCCCAGGGGGGGGACTTAACCGTGGCGGAATAAGCATATGGGATCGCCTAGTGGGGATCACGCATAGCAGGCACCTATACCCAAAACGCGGGCTGACCAGCGGGCAGACCTACAACGTAGTGGGCCAGCAAGTGACTCCTCCGCTGAGTCAGTGCTGGGGGCCACGGAGGAATCTGCAGGGCTCACCTGACGGGGAACTTTACTGACAGATAGAAAAGGCGCACGTACCTCCGTGTTAGGGAGAATGGCGCAGCAAGCGTGTTTCAACACCCTACCGAGTTGTCTCCTCAATCACCAAAGGGTTACCTAATACCCTTGAGGAAACCGGCTCCACTCGCAGATTGTAAAACCTTGCAAATGTGTTGGGTGTCGCCCAGCCCGCAGCTCTACAGATGTCTGTTAGAGAGGCGCCGCGTGCACGCGCCCAAGAGGATGCAACGCTCCGAGTGGAGTGTGCACGAACTCCCGGGGGACACGGCTGACCTCGACTCGAATAAGCGAGTGAAATGGCATCCACAATCCAGTGGGATAATCTTTGTTTTGATACGGCACTTCCCTGCTGCCGACCGCCATAACAGACAAAGAGCTGCTCAGATGATCTAAAATTCTGAGTACGGTCCACATAAATGCGCAGAGCGCGAACTGGACAAAGTAAAGAAAGGGCTGGGTCTGCCTCCTCCGGGGGCAGCGCTTGCAGGTTCACTACCTGATCTCTAAAGGGGGTGGTAGGAACCTTGGGCACATAACCGGGGCGGGGTCTCAGGATGACGTGAGAGTAATCCGGCCCAAATTCCAGGCACGAGTCACTGACCGAAAATGCCTCCAGGACCCCGACCCTCTTGATGGAGGCCAACGCAACCAGCAGAGCTGTCTTCAGGGACAGAAATCTTAGAGATACTGATTCGAGTGGCTCAAAGGGATCGGATCGCAGACTCGTGAGAACGAGGGCGAGATCCCAAGAGGGCATGAGAGGGGGGCGAGATGGATTAATTCGCCTAGCACCCCTAAGGAACTGGATGACCAGGTTATGCTTTCCCACGGTGCCACCAGCTACCGCGCTATGATAAGCGGAGATGGCGGCCACGTAAACCTTGAGAGTGGAGGGCGACAGCCTGCTGTCCAACTTCTCTTGAAGGAAAGAGAGCACAACACTAATCTGGCAATTTCGGGGGTCTTCTCTGCGAGAGACGCACCATTCAGTGAATAGACTCCACTTCAGGGCGTAGGCGCGCCTCGTGGAGGGGGCTCTAGCCTGAGTGATG